GGGTACGATGGCAAGAATAGGGTAGTGGCGCTTGAATAAGAAGCATGAGATGCTAGGAGGTAGGGTGTTGCTTCCCTACCTGAAGCATTGCAGTTTGAGCTGACTTACGAGACAGAGTCGACGCGCAGCGCCGCTGCCACGTTGAGTGAGTTAGGTCCTAGTGGGAATGCTGCATCCGTCGCCTCGCTTGCAGCATCTGTTTCGCCGCGATTAGGAAGTAACACTTCACACCCGGAGGTGGTAACTGAGGCGTCGTGAAAAAAGGACTAGAGAAAGCTTTCGAAAATGCCCATGGATAGATAGGATTCCTCCAGTCGTGAAATCGCCTTCGCTTGAGAACTTCCCGGACTGCGGGCTTCACTACAAAAAAAACGAATAGAAACTAGTTGAAGAACCACTAAAACATAGACACACTGTTTCGTTGCTTCCCTTAGGCGAACCACTCTCCGTCAAGTCAGACCTGAGTTGGTGGAGTTGACAGAATAAGATTTAACTATAGAACTGACGGAGATTCAAGGGCACGAGTTGACAGAATAAGATTTAACTATAGAACTGGCGGAGATTCAAGGACAAGCTCTACCTTTGTGGATCCTGGTCCATGGTGTGGTGTGGGAGAATGGGTCCACAGCTGCAAAAGCGTGTCAAAAAGGCTCGGGAAAGGGGTTGGTAATGTGCTGGTAGCGTGGTGCCGTCTCCATACCCCACGCACGCTGCTCCGGGCAGCCACACGCCTAACCATAGCCAAACGCGCTACTTGTCTGCGCTCTCTCACTTCTGGTTGTTCTCTACCGCTGAGTGCTTGTTTCGCTGCGGAATCTTGGTATCGCCGCTAATGCTGCATATTGAGGACGGCGCGAGTGGAGTACGGAAACGGCACTGGTATCAATACCTTTCAGCACCACTCCCTTGCACTTTCGAGCGGAGAAAGTGGCACATTACCGTAGCTGCGGGCCCATTCGTCAGCGTATAGTTTGTCTTCAAGAGGATTTGTAACGCCAGCAACACGTTTATAGTGATGTGTAGCTGTTGAAATTTTAAATTGCTTATGGGTTGACGCTTCTGGAAGTGTCAGCGCTTCTGTTCATACGCTGCCCACTCATCGTTGTAAGCCTAGTGTCAGCTGCGATTATTTGATGGAAATCCCATATAATTCAATCTTGGATTCCATCAATCCCGCGTCTATGCAAAAAAAACCGTGAAATTAATAAATACTTGAGTAAAAGAAATGCGAAGTGGGCGGGAACCTAGGACCTGAGGTGGAGAGCTCGTTATGTCGCTACCTTTCGGCGTCATTACCACACCTTTTCATGTGGAAACCGTGGGTATGTGGCAGAGAATCGTAATTCGCCGCGCCAGTGGGCGTCGCGTGCGACGTCGCGCCCGCCAGTGACGACGATTTCAGGTGGTATTGGTCTAGAATAGGCAATGTATGACTAAAAATAAACATGAATGTTTACAATGCCTCTGTCTACAGGAAATTCGATGCTCTAATCGGAAGGATAGTGCAAATTAAGGAAACGCCCACTGCCGCGCGCGACGAAGCGGCAATTTACGATTCTCTTGCCCGTCTCCCGGCAACCGTGACACCCCCTAGTCGACTATACATATGTACATCGTACAGTTGCGACCCCTGCAACCGATAGGACGTGTGACGCGGCGCTTATCAGACCTGCGGCCTTGTTCCAACAGTGATGCTACCCTGAGCCCATACAATTGATGGCTATGCTCCAAGCCACACTGCTGTCCTTCGTCCCATTGTTTGTAGGGTTCATCAGTAATATTGGGGACAAAGTCTACTTCCAAACAGTGAACTCTGTGCCCTCAATGCGGTAGTTGGTCATGGCTGTACAACCATTCGAAATTCAGCTAAAAAATCCTTGTGCAGTGTTGATGGGAATGTATAGTACGTGTTTAGTTCCGAAAAATGTTGCTATCTTTGGATCGAATGGAGAACGATGGTGATAGCGATTATGAGGGAGAAATAAGTGTTGCTCCGAAAGACGACGATGAAAGTGCGGATGGATGTCTAGATGCATCTGCTGAAAATGATGTCGATATGTAGGCAAAGCACATCATCTCGAATGCACACACTTCATCTCATACGTAGTCTAGTGATCGTGATTGTGATCAAATTCTTCGGTCAGGGTCGATTCTATTTTGTTCTTTGTTCATAATACATCTGGCATTTTATTGTTTTCATACTGCATCGGAATTTATCTACTGACCTGTGTGCGGGAGCTCTTGTAAATTTACCACCATGTTACCTCAATATAATGTTTTCCAGATGATCTAGTTCATTATGTCATTCTTCCTCATTTATGATTTTATTATCTAGGCACAGATATTTATTCTGCACGTATTTTAGCTTGCGAAAGTGTAATTCCTTTTGAGGGGCTCGTCATAGATGATTATGATGCGAAGCAGGACGGCTTCCCTGATATGCTGTGAGATAACTCTTGAAAGAACTCTTGTAAATATGATCTGTTTGATTCTCTTGCAAATTCTGTGTTTCCTGTAAGTGCTGTTTCGATTTGATGATCTCGTCTTGTTGCGTTGTTCCTTCTGTATCTCTTTTCGGCTGTCACACTGTTGCGCACTCATTCGCAAGCCAAAATTCGACCGTCTTGGTTAATGCTGCTAATGTTTAATAAACCCATATGATTTTATACACTTTATCAGCTTTTCAATCACTGTTCACACGAATCCCACCGAAATTTGATATATATTTAGAAGAAGGGGGCACATTAGAGTACAATCTTGTTCGCTGAAGATGCCAGTTCGTGTCATCAGGGCTGAGTTTGGCGTGACGCTTATGGCACACATCCCTGTAATTTTTTTAACACAGAGTATCCGGGTAAGAGACAATGCTTATTTCAATGTATCATAGAAGTCCGTAAAACCATCGTTTCTGGAATCAGGGTACGCCATCGCGTTGTGATAAATTCCTGCAAAGTACAATCCCCCCTAGTTCCATCCTCTGATACGACCCTCCCCATCCCACCTACCACTTTCCTAGATTTTCCCAATTTCCTATCCCTTTCTCCAGACTTTTCCGGAAATTCACTCATTTCCCGGAAAAGATTTTTACTTTTTTTTTCGTAGGACTTTGTTGTCGAGCGGCGTGGGGGAGGTCATCGCAAACTAACTACTATCTTCGGATATCAGGATTAGTGGTTGTAGAGAGCCTCGGCGCCACCCCAACTTGGGGGGAGGTATATGTAGGACCAGTGAAACGGGAAAAAACGGAGAAAGTCAACAACCGGGAAAGGTGTTTTTTCCCAACGCTGCGCATTCCTCTCAAAGACAATCGACCCCCCCCCCTCGCTCACGGTCGAACACGACCCCCGTTGTGATTATCACTACGATGGCGTGCCCTGCCTGGAATCCTTGAGCACTTGACAGCCAAACACTTGCAACGTCGAGTTAGCAAATAACGAGTGCTCTCTGGTTCAGAAGATATAAAGTGATTCGATGGGAAATCCCGAGCCGTCCGTCAACCCGATTCCTCCTGCACCGTTGGAGCGAATGCGTTTAGAAGATGGCCTGTACGACTGCAGAGCTGGAGAGAATAAAACACTGGCTACTTCAGCTGACCCCTGCAAGTCATTGTATAGGCCACATCGCATTCAATAAGCCACTACGATTCTGAATGGAAGTAGAATGCGTGCCGCATCCCACAAAGGAGATTGATCAACGGCGAAGAAGTAAATCCTTATCCTTTATTTTAAGCTAGTTTTCCACCGGATTTCCCCTCATAAGGCAGAAATTTTTTCCATTTGCTGATCTTGCCTGCAGGATTAGTCCACATAAAACCTGTGCTGCACAGAAAATATTCAAGTTTAGGCGTAAACTAAATTTCAGAACGATTTGATTTGCGATTTGCGCACCACGATTCCACGAGTATAAAGAGTAATGAACTTCAGGATAGATACATAAAACCAAGCAAAAAATCATGCATTTCTGAAGGATATGGATTCGATGAGCGTGATTTATATACATCCGGTCCCACATGACCTGCTAACCCTGATGCGTATGTGAATCACGCGCTCGTCAACATTTTGAAGCCCTCCCTGAATGACGTTTACCTAGAACCCGGTAGCCCCTTCTAACGTCGCCCGGGCGTCTGGAGACTTTGTTCGCGCCTGTTCCAGTAACTCGATGACCAGCGGTACCACAGAACGACGCAAATGATACCAGTCGTATCCCAATACCAATAATGTTTTAGCCGTACTTCCCATTCCTCACTATATTTCGCCTATTCTTTTCTCACACTGTTTAGAAGCGGCATCCTAAAGCATTCCATATGTGCCCGATTTGGCTAAATTTGAGGGAATTTCAGTTGGGATTTGATCTCACCACACATGATAAACGACATACTTGCCAATGTAGCACATTCTGCCTCTGTCAGGGGTCCTTTCAGGTCACTGAGCTCAGGTTCAAACCGCGACGATAAAAAATTTTGCATTTTGTTTTCGGTTCAAGGAAGTCGGAACCTTTTCTCACAACAGAGACGTGCGCAAAAATGTCCAAATATTTTCTAAAAGACCGTACGATATCTACCAGTTTGCCATGGAACGAAGAAATTTTTTGGGCCTTTTCTCGGAACCAGCGTGAAGGGGCTACACTTTTGTGATTCCCACATGACCCTGTGCAAAGTCATTCTGAACGTTTGTTTCTTCCCTGACCTGAAAGACTTCCCTTGTCAGACTCATAAACAACACTTTACTCAGCAGTAGTTAAAGTTACTGCTTTGTGAAGCGGCGGTCCAATTTATCAGGTTGTTGCTTCTACATGACAGCGTTCACTTTATCCAAAACAAAAATAGCCATTATTATCATTGTTCTGGATAAAGTGAATGCTGCTGTTCTGAAGATTTGTGCAACTCTCATTCTAAACGTTGAAGGAGTAGACCGCTTCTGATTGCATGTGATAGTGAAATGTGTGCTATCACTAAACTAAAAATATAACTTGCTCGCAATCGGAATAGGTGGGGTTCAGTTATGCGCTTACTCATCTTGCCAGCCCCAGGCTGGCCCTTTGAGGTACGGTTTCTCTACTTTCGGAATGAGTTCATTTCCAAAGCTCATTAGGATAGCTGAGGAACGTAGAACAGTCTGAATAAAGGCTGTACTTGTTGTAATTTGACTTACATCCCACTGTCAAGATCTTGGTCACTGGACTCTTCGATCTACCAGAATCGTTTTAAGAAGTACTACGAACTGCTTCTCTTACTGCCGGCTCTGATTCTCATATGCTATTTTATTTACTGGTGTTTCTGGTACCGAAGAAGAGCTAACGCACCACCAGGTAACTTTCTACCAAAAGCACTTTCCGCGATAAATTTAGAGCATACCCTCTCAAATGTGTAAGGTGATCCGGTGGCGATTGCAGTGACTGTTACATTCGTAAAGTGAAAATTTGCGAGAATTCCGGTGGAAGCCAAACGGCTAGGAGCGTAAGCACCTCTTAGGACCATGCCAACCTCCACTGACTGCAGGCTACTGGCTAGTAACCCCTCTACTATTTGCTTCCATTCCACAAGAAGTGATTTTCACAAACACCCCTTCTCTTCATCGTATGCACGTACAAGCTGGTGAGGAGCTCCTTCTGAGGTTTCTGGAACGGTCTTTCCCGCTCTCAAATGCCTAAGGTAAAGCCTAAGGCACAGCCGCTGTGCACTGTGACGCGACAGCGGCTGCGGCTCGGTGACGGTGAATCAGCTGATTTCGATGGAATTCGGCTGCAAATTCCCACTTTTTCAGCTCTTCAAGCTTCTAAAGTGGAAGGTGAGTTATTCTGAACAATTTTGAATTGTACTGGCTCTGATTTCCTTTATTTTTATGTCGATTATTATGCTCTTTTTCGCCTTATTTCAGGCATATTCAAATGGCTTGCATTCTTTCAGATTCATTCAGAGTCAGTACAATTTAAAATTGCTCAAAATAACTCACCTTCCACTTTCGAAGCTTGAAGAGTTGAAAAAGTGGGAATTCGCAGCCGAATTCCATCGAAATCAGCTGATTCACCGTCACCGAGCCGCAGCCGCTGTCGCGTCACAGCGCGGCTGTGCCGCCCCGACAGTCCGTAATGATGAGGACTGTAGGTGGTATCGTCGCAATCGGTCGGGGCGGTGCCAGGGGGATGGGATGAGCCTCTTGGGATGTCTTCTTTCTTATTATTATTATTATTTGTTCTTTTAATCACCGATCATATCGAAAGAAAACGCCTCCTGGGCTAGCACATCTCAGCCCTTCTGACACTGCCCAGCTGCCTGCGACTATCCATATCCCAAAGCTGGGGAGGGCGTGGCTGCCTACTTCCTATAAACACAGCGTATAATACGGTCCTTGTGGGACATATCCGTTCCAATCTTGCCGCTGTGATCGTACCTTGTGCTGGGCAAAGATGTGATTACAGTTGCCTACGAACTAAAAGACGCTACCAAAAGCGCTCCAGCCGCTACGTTCAAATGAAGTACGCAGCTTCACCCCTTCCTTCTTCGGGATATGATGTGTATATGATTGCGTTCGAAATTCCTTTCCAGGTCATTTGTCACAGCACATGTAGAGATATTCTACCTAAACTTTTATCACTGTTATCATTTTCAGGTGAGCTTATGGTAATGGCTCCTGTTGTGGTTTCTCCATACCAAGGACCTGCTCCTCCACCGATATACGCCTACAGCTACAGCAATCCACCTCCTCCTGTAAGAACTCCGTCGAAATCAGACGAGGAGTCTCTAAGAAGGGACGACGGTGTGAGAAAATCGACTCATTCATCTCACTCTGGCCTTTCCCGCTCCAGAGAGTTAGTAGAGCCGAATGAAATCAATGAGAAGAAGCCGGTGAATTGCCAGCCTCCAGTAGCTGCCATCATTGTTTGAGAAGGAACAGGAAATCAAAAAATATTAGCCCTACATTTGTTTTCATTACCGACGAAATACATGTCAAATTCAGTAATGTCTACTGAATAAACGTTTTTATTAGGTGTTTCAGTTGTTTAGTGCCTTATGAGGTTGATAGGTGGAACATTCATTAGTTGGCCTAACGTTTCGACTCAATCGTCGTCTTCAGAGGCCTGAACATGTTTCAAGTTTTAGATTTGCAACTTACCCCACCAAGCGCCTCGTCGAGTTCCGACGTAGTGTCAAGAACCCCTCGAGAAGACGCCAATACCGCAAGAAACAGGCTCACCAGTTGTTCCACAATTAAGCGGATAGGTCCGCAGTCACACCAGAGCGCTGTTTAGAGAGAAATGAGGAACTCTACATTGTCTCCGAATAATGACATGTTGAGGAGGCGCACGTCATTTTACGTCCGCAGTGGGGTATAAACGGTAGTAGGTCACTGGTGATGGAAGGACACTCATCTCGATTGTTCATTCTGGGTTTTCTAGTGAATATCCAGAATGCTTCTAACGCTTTTCTAGCTGAAAGTTCCGTCTCATTTGCCAGCACACTGCACTTTATTTCGAATTCCAACCCATTGTGTTCAGCAACCTTGTGCCTCCCAAGAGCAGTTGTAAGAGTACCACGCCTCATGCTAGCAAGGTGTTCCTTGATACGAATAGCCAAGACCCTTCCTGTCTTGCTGTTACATGCCTGACACTGGATTTCATATATTACTCCCAGTTGCGCAGAGCCACCAACTTCTCCTTGTGAGCCTGTAACACAATTCTCTGATTCCATTCAATTCAGGTGTCGGGTCGGGTACAACTGATGAGCCTGTTTCTTGCGGGTTGGCGTCTTCTCGAGGGTTCCTGACACTACGTCGGAACCGCTAGATTCGACGAGGCGCTTGGTGGGGTAGGTTGCGAATCTAAAACTTGAAACATGTTCAGGCCTCTGAAGACGACGATTGAGTCGAAACGTTAGGCCAATTAATAAATGTTCCACCTATCAACCTCGTAAGGCACTAAACAACTGACTCACAATAAAGACAGCTCCCGCGATAAAAGTCTCATGGATAGCTGCTTTCCAATTATGAAACAGTAGCTGATAAGTAATCTCCCAAAGAAGAAAACAGGCAAGAAGCGTCCTCCAGAACAACATCGCTCCCTCACAGTCACACCTCCCTGCGGTCTCTGTGCAACCCCTAGCTCACAAATCTCTCTATCACATCTCGCAGTAGATATCATCCAGTGCAAAAAAAAGAATACAAAAAGAAAACACAAAAACGCAGAGGAAAAACTCTTGGAAAAAAGGAATTTTATCAACGCGGTGTCTGAATTTGGGATTACGGTAGCGCACGTTTTGTGCGTCGAGGTTTTGCATCACGAAAATTGCGTCACTCGTGCTTTTTACGCGTTTCACCTCGCGAAATGAGTTGAATTGAATGTATATACAGTCGTCATCCTTGCACTTGATAGGGGCGTGTCGGCGAGAAGGAGCGTGCACACTGTTTGAAGCCTTCTCAGCCTTTTCGTTGAAACGCGTATGCGACAAAAAGTGATAGAAAACGAGTAACACGAAGGATATAATACAGTAATGTCACTTCCTGGTTCAACGATTGGTGCAGTACGGGTGCGGGCGACCGCGCCGCACGCAGCCGCACTGACATTGACTATCAAGTGCAAGGATGACGACTGTACCTCCAATGAGTAAACTGTAATAAAAGGGGAGCAGAATTATCCATGGGCATTAGCAATGCCCGCCGCCCCAACTAAGAACAACTGAGTGGCCTCCGTCGGAGGACATCTAGCAAGTAAGGCGGTCCAACTGAGCAGGCGTTAGAACTAGAACTTACAGCGGCTGTAGCTCGCTTCTCGCTCGCTGTGCAGACGAATAGAGTGGGACAGTCTCTAGCTTGGGGGCTGTACTACTTGCACAAGGAAGGACGACCATGTACTACTCGAGCGCGGGGGCTGTCTTTAAGATGCAGGGGTTGCAAGAAGAGAGAAGCTGGAGAATATTTTTATTAAATTCAGCTACGCGGAAATCGGTTTGGGGCAGCTTTTCTCGGTGCACTTACATTTACTCTTATCTTACTGAAATTATGAATTGGAGATAAATAGCGCAGATATGGATGTCTCTTGCCTTACCGTTGCTAGGAGGGAATATGGACCTGAATTCAATTGGATGTGTGACGGTAAGACCATGCGGCGCCGCGTACGGCAGTTCGAAATACAAATAGTTCCAAATATATTACGATACGATGTGGGTCTACGGACAACTTGAACTCAATCCCTTTGAACGCGTCGATCTTCTCTTTTTCTCTGCACTCTCTCGTCCGCATGGCACTCTATGGCCGTTGTGACTTCGCTCACTCCAGCTTTTCACCGACTATAAGTAGCTCACCCACCCCGGAGTCCCCTCCCCTTGAAAAATCCCGTTTCCTGGCTCGCCATACGTTTTTTGCACGTTTCGATGCTTTGGCAGCCGCTGCCCTCTATCCGTCTGCGTCACAGGGTTTCGTAACAGGACCATGCACAAAAGTTCAAGATGTCACGTAACCCTGGCCGGTTGAATAGGAATATTGAAGGGATATTGACGATAAAGATTGATATCGCCCAGGGTCGAGTCTTGTGTACAGTTACGATTAAGTTCCTAGTTTTTTCTTTGTTTCTCCATAGAGGATGAAAAGATCATTGGAGCTTGAAGTTCATTAGGGTCTTTAACATTTGCTCTGGTGTGTCATCTTTTACAGCAGCTCACAAGAAAACTTGACCATTCATCTATTAAATGTTGACGCTGACAACTGCGCGAAGTTATGTGAGCCACATAGTGTGGTTCGCTGCGGACGGTTGGGCGTGTCAGGCGGGATGAGTTTGGCGCGGTGCCAAACCCGTTCTCCACCAGTTGTTAAAGCGAGCAAATGATATGACTGTATCATATCGTTCGTATTACTCGTTTTCTACCACTTTTTGTCGCATGCGCGCTTCAACAAGAAGGCAGAGAACGGCTTGACGGGGTGACACACTCATACTGCCTGACACGCCCAACCGTCCGCAGCGAACTAGAGTGTAAACATAGGGAAAATAACTGCCTTGCTTGATTTCTTTTGTATTTGTTTATTTCCTGAAGTTGCGTCTATGGATCCGCCAAACAATTGTGTGTTACTATCAAGAGAAACATCGTTAGATTTTCAATTATTGATGAAATCTCTTAACGTTGTACGCTGTAGTAAATCAGTTGCTCCAGTCGCAAAGCTATCGGCTAGCAAATGCACGTCCGTGAGCTGCTGCGTCATTCGCCGCGCGACGCGCCGCGTGCGGCTGGCGCTACCCCGGACGATTCTGTTGCACGTCTCCCGTTTTCCAGCAGGACGGTCCGTCGTACCTCAACGATACGACGATAAGCCCGGCCTCCGAAAGCATGCTGTCTAGAAAGTATTGTGACAGTCAAATGATTGGGAATCAGCTGATAGCAGATAAGTTAAATTAGCTCGCGAGCAGGATCTGAGCAAGTTTCTCTGCACTATAACTGCTATGTATGTATTTACTCTATTTGTGTGAATAAAACAAAATCTGACAGTCATGACAATCCAGGTTGTCCCACAGTGAAGGGCGTGGCTGGAAACTGAAGCGAACACAAGCTATGTACTGTAATAACGGAATGAGCTTGTCGCGAGCATGCGCTCCATTGCAAGCCCGCGGTGTTTGCAGATTGTCGCGTAACGCGACGTCGCGTGGGTCCTAAAGACCGTCTCTAACCGTTATAAGTGGAGACACTTTCCCTTTGCGTTTTCCCTCGTTCATACTTCTGTATTCCATGCAATCTCACGTCCGTATGGCACCCCTCTCCAGTATCCCATTCCTTATCCTGGCACATGTCTATCTGCATATTTCCGTGGGTGATGTTTGGCTTGGAGGGAGCAGTTTGCACTTTCGCTAAGATGGTTGTAGAATATCTTATTATGTTAATGACAACCACTCACTTCGGTCAGACCTCTACACTCTTCTGTAGCTGCTGAATTGAATTGAGCCACTCTGGTCAGAAAAAGTTACAGGCCTTCCCATGCTGGCGTGTACTAGCTTAGTGAGTTCCATCTGGTGCCCCAAAAAAAACAGAAACGCCACCCGTTTCGATGCTACTGGTAAGCTGGACAGCCATTCTCCTCCAGGTGTGTGCATACAGGAGTTCGCAAGAAAGCCGCGCACAAATGTTCAGTAGCCACGTAACCGGGAATAAAGTACATATCAGAGGCTAATGCCGTTTGGATGCCCTGACTTTTGGCTGCGAGCTCACTTTTGAATTGCTTAGATCACCAAATCCGCTGAAAACTTGTATAAAGAGGTGATCCAACATCCTGTTACAAATATGACATTCATTCGTGGCGCTGGCGCCAATGGAGAACGCTACTATTGTCTGCCCCCTGCTGAAGCTGAACCCAGAAGATAATCGTAGCGTCCTCCATTTAGTG